TGGTGCAAAATATGACCAGAAGTTGTACTAGAAGAAGAAATTAATAAAATTAGAAATGTAGTTATCCATATGGCTCAATCAATTGGTTTCGTAGATGTCGATGAAAATAATTTTAGAAATTTAATGAATGTTATGGTTTTTTAGTGGAAAATTTAGAAAACATTCCTAGTAACAAAGACACAGAAAATGAAGACTAAGTTAAATAAATTCAAAACAAGAAATTGTTAATAACCAAATATTTTAGAAGGTGCATAAATGATATTGAACATATGTTTTGGAACGCATCCTATTCGTTAATCGAGGTATGACTGTATATATATTTAATAAATATAAATGTGAAATAATAACTATAAAAATTAAAACGGGTTATTCCAATTGATTTAGTTTAGTTTTTGAATATTTGTTATTGGTTTATTAATCGTATTTACGAAATGAATTTTCTGTAGTTGAGTATGCCTTCAGAATTTGGCAATATTTGATCTTTTCAAAGATCGTTTTAAGATTCTAGCCATGTAATTGAGCTATAGCAATAAGATATTCGAGTATTGATTAAATTCTAAACTAAAGAAATTGAAATTAATTTACGACTTGAACTTTAACGAGTTTATTATGCGATTAATAGGATTCATTGTTTGCACAGGAAAGTAAAATTTTGAGATGGCTGGCTAGTCGGTAGGTAGATGCAAAGAGTATTGCTATTAGCAACACCTAATAACCATAATTCGCGCAGCATCTTTTTATAATTCACTTCATTTATTTGCTCCTCGTTGTTAATTTTTCTTCTATGCTCTTTTCCTATGAAAGATTTCAGCATTCAGTATTGTGGTATTATTGATGAGGCACACACAATGGTGTAATAATTTGAAGTCGCACGCCGCTGCCGACTGGGGCGATTGGCGCAGTGGCGAAGAAGTAGCACACGGCACACTTTGAAGAAGAAAAGGGGGGCTGAAAGGGGGTACCGCCGTTGTTGATGGTGGGGAACTATGCGGACATACTTCCTACCAGCAATGACGGACGCCGTGCGCGAATGAGGACAGATTCGAGTATCATCATCATCATCATCATCAAACAGAAATTCTGTTGAATGTTAAAGGTCTACGTGTTGAAGAAGAACTGGTCCGAAAGGAGAAGGAAGGAGAGTAACGATGGGGCTCTCAGACACGAAGGCGTGTGGTTCATCCAGGCCAAATGGGAATCATGATCTCTCACCGCTGAGCTGTATCACATTATTTCTTCTTTTTTTTTGTTGATATATCGCTCTTGTTCTTCGTAGTTCAAGCCATAAAAATAAAATAAGTAATAATCATTAAAGGCGATTACAACAAACCATAACCAGAACAATAAAACGAATAAGAAGAAATAGTTTAAAAACAAAAAGAAACGCTTTTTTCGGGTTTGCAACTATTAACACCTCCAACTACGTTTTGAATGTAATAAATACACTTTATTACAAAATAATTTCCTGCAACAAGAATTTACATTCACGAGAAAAATGTACAGGCGAAACTCTCTTTGACTTTTGACATTTTATTATTTACTTTTTTTTTGGCTTCTCTGGTTTACGCTGTGGAGAAGATAGTGAAATTTCTTAAAAACAAGTTTCGTGCGTTTTTTTCTCTTTTCCTCGTACATATGCACACATACCATTCATACGAGTCAAGATCTATGGAAAACTTCGGTATTTTAGTCTTTGATTTTAAGATAAACGGAAAAGTGAAACCTGTTCTAAATTTTAAATGACTAATCAAATTTTAATTGCTATCATTTGCTTATAATAATAATAATACATATTAGTTGAAATGTAGTTTTATAATCATTTTTTTGTAATTTCTAATTTGCAGGAAATATATTTTACAACTTTTTTTAGAGAGTAAAACTAGGATTATTAATTAATTATAAAAATAACATTTAGATTCCATACAATTTTTAAACTTTATGATTGAAAAATTCTGGGGTCCTGTAAACATTTTAAATACAAAAGGTGGTCGTAGACACTGAGAAACACTGCTTTAGTGTATAAGAAAGATTAATTTTTTATTCTTGCAATTCATGAATTTTTGTGTAAAAAGAGATACTTCCTCTGTCTAAACTAAATATATATATAAAACTAAAATTAAATATAAAAATTATTAAATTCATTTTATTATCGCAATATAACTAAATACAAATAATCTTAGTCTAATCCAAATTTAGTTAAAGTGAGATTTCAGTTAATTGATCCTCACGACGAAGTGTTACCTTATTTATATGAGAAAATTTAATTGATTCCATACACGTTTGTAATGTTATAAAAACGTTATCAAGAGCATCTTGAACACATTCAACAATTCATCAACTGTGTTTGTCGAAGCTTCATGTCGTAGTAACTTAATAGAGTAAAAAAAACAAATCGAGAACGTTTAAATCGGTAGTGGTTGTGAGTTAAATTTTATATTCCAACCATCAGTAGGATCGTGTTCTGTTTTTTCTTTGTTCTTCATATACTGTAATAGCAGTTGCAAATTACCATGACGTTCTTCATTAGTCAATTGCTTCGATTTGGCATCTTTTCACGTTATTTGGGTTAAAATTTTCCATTCTGAAATTACAGCGGTGACTATTATATTTTTCTTAAAAAAACTTGTTATTGATCTTCAAAAGCAACGACTGTCAAATATGTTATGTTATTTAGTTATCAATGTAAGCAATATCAATATAATGAGTACTAACAGTTGCTTTCGAAACTTTAGATAATATAAGATTTTCTTTCAAATGTATACTATATTATTGAACAGAAGGAGTACAATTTAATTCAAAAGAAAAATGTACGAACTTTACAAAGCATAGAAACTTCAATTATTTAAACCCTTTAGCGTGGAAGGAAACTTGCTTATTTATTCTCGCAATTCTTAAATTTGTATATAAAAAGAGACATAAAAAGGTTAAAAAAAACTTGATCGAACTTCACAAATCAAACACATAAACAAGGCTCACTCGCAATACCAACCAATATATTATAAACAAAAATTAAATAAATAAAGATCATCATCAACTGAGAAATGATAATTAACTGGGTAATATATGAAAAAAATGATGTATTTTTGTTTATAGATTAATTTTATTTGATTATGAGTAGAAAAAGTCAGTTTCAAATAGAGCATTCGAGTGCAGCCACAACACTCTTAATCAATCAACTGTTTCAGTTTACGGAACAACAATTTTTCTTCAAGCTAAAATACCGCACATTGTATTTCATTTTTATTACTATTTATATTTTCTTTCGCAGCTATTGCAATTATAAAAAAAATAGAGACGTTATTCTTTTTAATAATACTATTTAAAATATATATTTACAGCAAGTGTAATTAATAAGTAACGAAAAGAGTTTATTTAAGAGGAGTTTGATCAACAGGATTAAAACTGAATAAAGTAGGTCAACCGGAATTGTTCAAAGAAGGCAAAGGTCAGTAAATATTCCCGTTTTAAGAAGAAACAATATAGTTGAAAGTATTATCTGCTTGAGGTTGAGAATACTCTATAATCAAAGAGTTACATCTATCTTAGTTTGATTTGTTTGTGAACTTGTTTAGATATTGTTGATTTATTTGAAAATTTATTTTTGGCATTGCTGTAGATTCAGTTGTAGCATGTTTATGACTTTTTATCCTTACTCTGTCCATGGCTTAATAGTTATATATTAGGTACATTCTTATGCCTTTTTTTTGGGTGACCTTCAATCAACTAGTGACGTTGCGGAGTGAGGATTAGATATGAGATATTGCATCAGCAAGATTATGAAAATAATGATTTAGTGCCGTATGTTTTGTATTTGTACCATAATTAAGACTTCTAATTGATATTGTAATTTTTAAGGATATAATAAAACAAATTGTATTTAAAAAAAATATCTTATTAAAATAGTGGTGTTTATAATACAACATATTAATGAATAATCAACAAGAAAATAATAACAAAGTATAATTAATTTAAGACCTAAAATACTAAACACAAGAAAAAATAAAATGTAGATAAATACACACTAACAAAACATATTTGTATTATATTCTTAACTAATTGTTCACTATTTTTACAGACTTTATTTGCAAAATAGGTCAAATATAGAAATTAAAATAAATATGTAAAAAGCGAACTCGTGACGGGCAACTGAATAAAATTTTGGGACTTGAACATCAATGAGGAAAAATCTTAATGAATGCAATCTGTGTTTTTCAATCTGTACGCGAATAAATTACAAAACAAAAAATATCACTAAATTGTATCAGGAGAGAGAAAAACATGCAGATATACTGAAGTTTCGTGAGCATGAATGAAGTGAGACAAAACGTACTACGGAATGGATTCAAAATGAAACAGACAAAACAACATAAAGCAGATTTGAGATCATTAATTTTCCACATACAAATATTTCTTTTCAGCGAAAGTACAGAATGCGCTTAAGCAAGCATATTATTTAACATCTGAGAGGCGGTGGCGGGACATTACAAAAAATAAAACAAAATAATAAACATATAATACAATATTATATACAAAAAATATATAATTCGTTGTTAATAAAATATTAACTTTTGTACAAATCACTCATTTTATTTGTACAAATTTGTTCTCGTCACAGAAATTTGTATAATAACAAATACCTTACTTAAATATTAAGTATATTAAATGCTTATCACAAGAACTATGTCTTCATTAAAGAAAGCAGCCGTAAAATATAAACATTTAAATAATACACGAGTTTTTGCTTTTTCTCTTTAAGATAGTTTGACCTGAGAAATATAAGAGGAAAAATATAAATAATTTTCAAACAATTTTCATCCGTACATCTTTACAAAATTTTATTGAAATTACTAGACGCAACTCGCAATGTTTTCATTTTTAACACCAATTTTAACCAAAAATTAAATAAAAATAATAAATAAATAATATTAAATTTAATATTTAAAAAATTATAGTTCAAAGCATATGCTTTTACTTTAAGAAAAATATTTACATAAAGATTTAATTTAAATAAAGCGAATAAATAATTAAAGGGCGGAATAATTGCAAAATTACAAATTATGAAAAACAGATTAATAGATGTAGTTCACGTAAAAAAGGGAGTGTGGGAGGGCTTAGGAAGGTTCACGGAAACAATGCGCAGTAGGGGGTGGGGGTTTATATGTCAAGTTTGGATAGAGAATTAAGTATAAATCTAAATCTCATTGAGAGGATTCCAAACTATAAATTAAAATTGGCAAGTTTAAACAGAATCAAGTATACTAATTTACACTAAAATACAAATTATAATGAATAAATATGATGTAGGTCAGATTTAAATTTAAATTGGTAACACTGAGGTGATTTGAACGTTTGGATTTCCACTCACGAGAGCTTGATTCCGCGGAGAAAGAGTATCATCAACTTAGCGCCGTTTTTTTGTGTTCTGCTCATATTGTTTTAGTATAATTATGTGTGTTTTTGTGTAAAATGTAACTAACATAAATATGTACGTGAATATAAATATATGCACCGGCTCACTATGAAAAAAATTGCACATTGTCCACAGTTAGGAATGAATATATAAAAATAATAATAATAAAATAATTACATATTGAGGTACCTTTCTTTATAGCACGATATGGAAGCAAATGAAACAAAATCACTTTCAAATGCTCAAGTTCAAGCACATTCTATTCGATTTCATTAATTTTTGAAATGTGTTTGTGATTGAATCTAAGAATTGTGTTTTGTAAAGGTTTTGTTTATTAGTCCCTTCCTATACGTTTATGTATTTGCTGGTGTTTTAGCAAGTGTGCTTTCTGCCTGAACGCTTTCGCGCACGTATCACAGCGGAAAGGTTTCTCGCCCGTGTGTGTACGTAAATGCACTTTTATGTTGCTCTTGTTGAGGAAACCTCGGTTACAGATGTTACATCTGTGCACGGGTTTCTCTTTTCCCAGAAGGCCCAGGCTCTGTTCCGTTTGGAAGACCGTCGAACTTGTGGCCTGCTGCTGCTTTTTCTGTGCGCGGTTCCTGGGCTTTTTGGGAGCATTGGGGGTCGTCGTCGTTGTGTGCGGATAGTTTTGGCCTAGAAGGTCGGGGCTTCGAATTCCATCATCGTTCACGTGGATCCCGTATTGCGGCAGGAAGCGACCGTTCACCGTTAGCATAAGATTGTCAGTTGTAGAGACTACGTTGGAGGGTGGACTAGACGTCGAAATCATGTCGGTATTGTAATTTGTGGATGTGGGAACTTCTTGCTTGATAGGTGGCCCATTTTCCAACCTATTTTGGAGGAGTGGCATGTAACCATGGGTGAGAAGATTTTGTAGCGTGGAGCTAGTTTGCTGGGTCGGTGCTTTGGTATTGTATTGAACTTGAGCATGCGACTTGTACTCGTTATTGTTTGGCATAACGAATTCAGATAGACCTTCTTGTGCAATGATCATGTTTTTCTGTTGATCAACGCAAGCACCGTCGATCCAGGCGTCCAGATCCATCCAACTGTCCCTCGATCCGGTAGTGTCTTCTTCGGGATGATTGTTGGGCACTGTTGTGGTGTCGGCTATCGCCGATCCGATTATTGCCGCGATGTCATCTATCGAACTGATGTCGTAGTCAGACATTTCTGTTTTGATGGCGGTGCCGGAATCGGCATTTTGATGTCCAGAATCACCGTACATCTTCGCACTCGAAACTGAATCTGCATTAACACAGTCCGCGTAACCTAGTTTTGCAACTTCATCCACCGAGTACATCGACTTTGAGCCGTTGTCACCGGCCGAATCAGCACTGATGTTGCACGTCGAACTTGATACTATATTTTGTTCGTTGTAATTGTTGTACGAATTATTGTTTTCTTCAGGGATACGTTGCGCGAGCGCATGATAATGATGGCCTTGTATGCCGTTGATGCTCAAGTTGGCGGTGTACCCGGCGAATGGAGGTAGAGGTTTAAGTTCCGCCAAATTCGTATTGATGGGATGTGAGAGTAGCAGATTGTCCAGCGCGTCCATCGTCGCCTTCGTTGAATTCTCCGTGTCACTGTCGTTTATCGGAGATCCTAGGAGGATCTTATTTGAGGATAAATTGTTCATTGTTCCATCCATGGCGATTTTATGGTCCATGTACTCATTGGTGGTATTCTGCCAGCAGGTCGAGTTGAACAGGGAGTCGACTTCATCAACGTGGGATTCGTTGCCACTGACCGCCATATTGTTTCCTCCTGACACGTTCGGGTATTTCATTGTATTCATTAACTTCTTACTTGAACTGTCCGATCAGTGTTGTCTCATAATGCCGAAATGGATCAAGATTAACAGAAATCTGCAACACAAAAAAACAAAAATAAATTTAGATCACCCATAGTTGAGAAAGTCACAAATAATATATAAATAAATAAATTGTAGGGAGAGGATAAAAAATTGGAATTGTGAAATTTTCTAAATAAACCGCATTGTTTGTTGAAACGTCACGCATCATGGCTATATAGGCATAGCCGATACATATTTCGATACGTTAGAAAATCGCAGCTTTGTAATTTTATTCCTAAAGCAAAAATGCTCAATACACGAGAATGTTCAGACAGCATCAGAATACGCGAATGTCCTTCTTCGGGACATTACACTGTTAACCATAAGCAGACGTGAATTGGTCCAATGTGTAAATTAGAGTTAATGATGATGAGAAGCTGGTTTAAACATATGGTGATCGAATTATTAACGGTTCTCTCGCTGGTTGAGATGAGAGCTTCCATCACCATTCATTCGTATCTCCCAGATTGGGAATATCTGCAGTGATAGAGAAAGCAGCGGATCGAGGAAAAATAATTCACGTAGTTGGAAACAAAAGAAACTCGATGCTTCAAAAACCAGTGAATACCTCGTAGCCATAAACCGCGGCGACACATTTTTTTTTCTTCTTTTTTCGAAATGAAACGCATTTGTATGTACGTGTGTCTACATGTGTGTATGTGTGTTTAAAGCCATGCATGCACATATACACATCGAGAACTCATGTGTGTGTGATTACGTTCCTTGTGTGTCATCAGGGTACTAGTGGAAGTGAATAAGTACCGTTAGCTTGGATACCGTGAGGCGGTGGGGAGGACTGGTATACCATGGTACTGGTAACACACTTCCGACAGTCTAGAGGCGCAGACGTCGGAATCCTACCCACACCGAGCGTAAAAGCTGGCTTCCCCCACTGCCAACAGCTTTACGCTAGTTAAGTATAACTTAAAGTTAACGGTACCGTCGTGCGTCATGTACGAATGTGTTCAAGAATAGCAAACTGCGATTCCGTTAACGGAAAGTGAATTTATTTTAATGGCCTATGTACTGATTTTCATAGGCCTTCTGGCCTACAAACATAATTAATAAATGTTACGTTTATTATGCTAACGACGATGACCAACATTCTTAATTCTTAACACATTTCTTCTCTTATTCTTTTCACTCACCACAATAACAGATATATGTTATATAGACATACAAAAATTCTAACTTCATTTCATTTTCATTTTACTAATTAAAACAAATTACACTTAGATTGTATGAGCAAATCTAAACTTGAATAAAACTTTACAATTGGGAATTTAGTGGCATACAAATAAACTTGGTATTCTTGCATTCCTGTTGACACCAATAACCAAACCACATTAGAAAAAAAAGTGTGTCACAAATTTGTCGAATCATTTAACGTTACAATTATTGATAGTTTCTATTAGTTGATTTTACTATCTAAATGATTTAAAGTAAATATTCATAAAATAAACAATGCTGGGACAAAATTTAAAATAACAGTTTATCAAACTTAATAAAGATTGACAAAAGAGTCATCAATACCAGGGAGACATTCGTAGATAAATAATATGTATATTAACTAAAAAATAGTGAGAACCAATATTTGAAGGCGTGCCCGACTTTCTAATAATTCTAAAACAATCTTTCGTGAATGAAAGAATTATTGTGCCAATTTTCTTTGATTTTACACTTTCCATCGATAAAAACGGTTCTTTTTTTATTCTGAGCCGCGAAGATTTTCAAGCGACCGTTAGAATTTAACACAGTCTGCGCGTTCATTTCAAGGCGTGTTTCACTCCTCCAATAGCAACAATATGAGACATTTTTAGTGTCTGTCCCACACACGGAGCACGGCAAGAAGACAAAAGAATGGGATTCGATTCGCGCGTCCTGGTGCACACCTTCAGGAAAGCCGAAATTTACAAACAATGATCGTACCCGAAATAATGCCATGCATATGAACATAACTGTTCGGCCAAACGGCAAAAACAGACTAAAAATAATCATTAGCATAAGCTCCGAATCGGGTCTAACAGTTAGCTGTAGCTGAACGCTCGGTAATAAGGGTTTTTAGTCTTTTGTTTGTTGTGATTGACTGTAATGTAATTAACATATTCAGTGCCCGCATTATCCGAATTTGGAAATATATAAACAATTAATTTTCGGGAAGAAAAATGTTTTACCGTTAATCAGTAATAAATTTTAGTTTGTATTTATGATATGTGGTTAAATGTTTATTTTCTTTATCTACGCGAATCGAAGTGGCGTGGTGGATGCGGATGCAAATTGGATATGGTAAAAGGAAGAATTCCTTCCCTCCTAGTATGGAAACTATTTGAACTTTTAGAAGTCAATGCCTTCATTATTAATAATAAATTCGCAAAAAAAAATAGCAGCCACTTTCTCTTCGTTAGTTTATTGAGTGACGTTGGCTTCGTGCTTTTTACCGGCGCATAAAATGAGAGATACATGCAGCAAGCGGCGACTTGCAATTCAATACACATGCGATGAAAAAATGCGAATTCACATACACACGATCCTCGGCATATTAAAATCAGTCTTCACTATTCTACTCCATTTAAATGACTCAATTACGATCGCACCTAGCGGTCTTTATGAACCAGCGCAAAAAAAAATAACAACAAAATTGAGATAGAATATGAAAGAAAAGTAGTAGGAACAATTCTATTTTCCATGCATATCTCAAGGATAATTGTGCCATATATCATTAATGATACGAATCTAAGTACGTTCTGATGTTGGATTCCTGTTAAAGTTATTCAGTAACAAAGAAACTCCGGTTATCTTCCTCGTGTGCATGTGAGTGAGTGTGTGTTTATTTAAAAAAGGAGTTCTTTTCGAGATACACCCGGAGACAAGACGGCAAGGCAAGTATGCGCGTCACTGGCAAAGTAGGTCACTGTACTACTTAGACCCCCGTGAGCGACTCCGGGTATTCCCCGCATCTCCTCACCAGCTCCTCACCAATCCCCACCGGTCGTACTTTAGTACACACGGCTCTGCCAGATCCAGCACCAGACACCGGCTCTTCCGGTTCAAACCTCAACTCAGGCCACCGAGCTGAATATTAAGAGAACAACTCACTTATTTTATGCTATATACACCATCACGCAGTTTTCATAAATTATCGAACAAGTGTATGAGAAAACCACCACCACCATCAACCACTTCCATCCTTTCTTATTATAATAAACTACTTAATTCAACATTTAAATCGTATGTTTATGCGCCTCCTTCCTCTACACACTACTTCAAATATCTAGGCCAGATTTAAAATATTCAATCCATCCGAAAATAATAATCGACATCAAATTCTTTTAAAAATAAAAAACCACAAAATCAAATTTAGTTGAAATTTGAAATAAATCACAAACTTAGCATATAAATTACAGTACTCTAAGAGCGCTGATAATTTTATCCTCTAGTTAATTTACGAAACTTTTATGCGGGTTACCGTTGTGACCGCGCGTCGATATCTCTCGCGTTGGCGCTCCTAAACAAACGCTTCTTTCCTGCACCGTTCAGTTAAAATAAACGTTCGTTTATGCAAAGCTAGAAGATTCCGAAAAAAAATGTAAATCTGCCAAGTTGCTGCCTCTCATTTATAAACCAATTAATGTATGTTAATTAAGCATATTTGGGTTTCTAGTCCCGGTTAATTAAAAATTTCTATTTAATTTGATATTATATTCAAATATATGCGGTTCTTTTTTTATACTTAAATTTTAAGCAAATTGTCGATCATCTAATATTTTTTTTATCGATATAATAAAATGTTTAATTTTTAATGAAGTCAAATAACATTAGTCTCTTAAAATTTATTATTTATATTAGTTTTTAAAGGAGCCGCGACCTTGCAATGATTATTTTTCTTCAACGAAATAAAAAACGTGATTTATTTAATTCTGTTCACAAAGGTTCAAGCGCTTCGGGCGTTGTTAATAGGAAATTGTATGATTACGGAATTTATTTCTGTCAGCAATAGAAAAAAAAAACACATCCGAGCGAGCGATTTTCAATTGTGGAATTAATAATAATATAAAAGCCGCCTTTCACAGAACTGACCTGGATAGTATTGGTTAAATTTGTAAACGGCTGGATTTAATTGAGCATCGTAATGAGATTCGCCCAAAAATCATAAATATTTATAGAGAAATTAGAAAATTAGAAAAAAAATGTTAATTTCCATTGAATTTAGTCCGTTCTAAAAAAATCTATTTTTTAAGGTGTAGTAATATTTGGTAGTAAAAATCATAATATTTTGACTGGCGTACCGAATTGTATACACATCTGGTACGAGTTTGTATTTTTTCTTGTAAGGGTGTCATAAATGAACTGCAGAAAACTCGGAAAAAAGTGTAAAATGGATTTTCGTGTCCGACCTTGGATATACGTAGGAGTGTTGCACAGATTTTCTGGTATTTGTTGTTTAAAATTTTAAAAAAATATGAAGATGGCCACGTGACACATGAAACGGCAATTAAAATAGTTTTGTCCTGTTTGCAAAGAGAGGAGAATCAGATGACATTAAAGATCGTTGCGGGCGTCTCGGACGTGGGATCACAACACAAAGGCCTTAAATCATCTAAACGCATTTAAAGCAAAATCGGCATTAAGTTTTACGATGTGCCATTCATTATGCAAGCGCATCGCCAAAGAAGACGAACGCCATCGTCTATGTCAAATACGAAAGATATCTTTTGAACATTACAAGAGCTAACAGCAAGGAGTACGAATATATCTATCCATTGTCTGTTGCTAAATACTTTCAGCAAATGGAATTATAGTTTAACATTTAATAAGCGGCATTGTCTGCGGTGCAATAATAAACGTTTATTTTTTATATTTCGTCCGCGGGTTGCCCGTTCAATCTCACGTCGAAATCTCCAAGCGCAACAGTTATAATATACCATGTGCACCACACCACGATCAGCGTTTAGTAGTTTACATTTCTCTACGATGAGACGCGCAGCAATTAAAACAAATTAGCTGCCA